TCTTCAAATGTCCGAATATTTTTGCCACGCTACATTTCGACATAGTTCAGTTTATTGTTTGATATTAAGAAAAGTATGTGCCATAAAATTTATGTTACTATAAACTATAATAAATGTTCTATTATATTATTAAAAAATTAATCCAAATTTACTATTATAAATAATCGAAATCCACAACAATATTTTGAATAGCATGATAGTCCGAATATTAATAAGAGTCACTGTACGTAGAAAATGAAAAATGTGTTTTCGTCAGTAAAGCGGTATATATTTCGGTATTTTAACCGTTGTGGACATCAAATATTGACAAAATACGTATGAAAATATCGGTATGACCGTCTTATACCGGTATTAAAACCAATTTCCCAAATAGCGGTTGTATTACGATAACATGGGAGCAAATACCTAAACCTTTCGGTTTCAATCTCTGGGTATAATACCTAAACCTCAAAATATTTCGGTTTTCAGTCTCTGGTTGAGAGATGACTCGTAACTCGTGAAATTTCACAATTTCACTTCTAGAGGAGAACCGAATTCTCGATCAACTATGAATTTAACCCCTTGCATTTGCAACTGGTCCGCGGACCATAACGAGTGACCGAACCGCACACAATGATTCGTCGCTTTCTTTTTCTTTAGAACTCGTCGGTATGATATCACTGGATAGAAATTATTAAAAAGTAATAAACTTATCATTTGTTTTGCCTTGGTTACATTTAAATATATATAAATATATTTAAATATACTTGAGAAAATGTTGCAATTTGGGACAAAAAATTCTCGACGTCATTCCAGCGCAAGAGGTTAATGCACAACCAGCGTAACAAAACCTACGAGTTCAGGAAAAAATCCTCAACGATGTTAGAAAGTGCCATCCGCAGTTTCTACGGAACGAGTTCCTCTGCAACTCACCGATGGAAAATCAACGATGATTTCCACCCGTATCCCTAACGATATCGACCGAGCCGAACAACGTTGATACCTACCTGGGTCAGGTTAATTTCGTTAATTTTCCAACGGCGAACCCTTTGCAATTTTAATATCACTCGTCGACGAACGCGAGTAGTTAATTAAACGGGCGCGATTCCGCGAAACCGGAGACGGTACCGCGACGTCGCGTCGAACTGATATTTCATTAAACATTTAGAGTAGACGAGAGGGAGGGGGAGGGAAAAGGATGGAAAAACTGGATGATAGACGACGGTTCGCGCCGAGGGAACGAATTACGAACCTCGTTTACTCGTGTTCGCGGACACGGGGTTAAATTCTATTCGATAATGTTGGCTCACCGTGTGATCATTTGGATTATTTAACAGCGTGCAGAGACACGTATAATTATAGCATTGTAAATGTCACGTTTTTCGCTGCGTCACTGAACCACGGATATTTAGGTAAAGGAAAGAAAGCCTTGGGACAAGTGGAAAGATAAAGCGTAGTTAAACAGAAATTAACTACAGAATAGCTTGAAAGATGTAGTAAAATAAAGACATAGATATTTGAGGAATTCTGTGCGATTAACAAATAGAATTTCGTTAATAATGTCAGTTCAATCGTGCAACCCCATGTGCTACCAAAGAAAAAACTTTGAAACAAGTGCAAAAATTGAAGAGTATCGTTGCAGAAATTAACTACAGGAAGAGCTAAAAAAAAAAAATAGTAACAGAGATATTTGAGGAAATATTCTGTCCAGAGCTATACATAGTCTTCCAACTGTATATCCTGTAATTCGTGAAGTTTAGTTTTATAAAGTTAATTTCATTCGTCGACAAAATTTGTTAATGTAAACTCGCGATTGACGAGTAAAATTCTGGTAATAAATATCAGTTGAGTCGTGCAAGTTTCGACCGTGAGCCACGGTCAGAGGGTTAAATCATCTCCTCCTCTTCGGAGAAATGGAATTTCGCTCGCGAAAGAATACCAATGCTAATGTTCATACTCCTTCCTGATCTGTAATTGCTGGCAAAGAAGAGATAAACGAAAAAACGTTTTTGCATACCGAAGATGATAGATGGTGGAACGACGAAGAACCTCTCCCGAGGTCCTCTCGATGGGAGATCGCGGGGAATATGGCGTCAGCAACTTCTTCGTTGGTCTGGACAGCCCTCGAACTGGACCTCGCTTCGTGGAATTCGCTTCTTTCTCAGAGAAGAGAAGAAGTTGATGTTACATCCCGACGAGATAAAACATGTGCAACTTCAGACGTGTCGACGTCGATCGTTTTCTTTCGACGTTTCGCAGCCTTCAGATTTTTGTTCGCCTGTAACAGTATATATATATATATGTTAAACTTTTTTACAAATATACAAACATCACTTTTTTACATATTTACGAACTCTGTAAAAAAAATATATATATATATATATTTCAGAGTTTGTAAATATGTAAAAAATGATGTTTGTATATTTGTAAAAGTTACAATTATAAGTTACAATAATTTGTAAAAGTAC